CCCATGAAAAATGTTGATGAAGAGAAACACTATAACTTACAGAGTGCTACTTGTTTAAAATTATGTAGGGTCCAAAGATTCCACATGAAGAGATTTTTACTTTCATGACCTGGATTTAGAAAAATCATGTATTCCAGAAATATAACACTATTAAAAGGTAAATCCATTTTAATTCAGTGAATCTTTATAACTTAATAATGAAAAAGGACATAATACGTATGACCTAAATCTAATCATTTTGTCCCAAAGAAGCAATGATCATGGTACAGGCCCATTAATTAGTAGTCCTTATTTCCTGTCACTATCAGCTCAGCATTCCCCCCCAGGGGTAGTGTGAGAGTTCTTAATTTAGGGGGAAAATAATTCCGTGATAAATTCATTTTGTGAAAGGCCAATTAAAGCAAAACTGAACACAAAGGACGGAACAGCATTTCCCAAACTTACTTGACTTATTTCCCCAGCATATCTCACAGGACACATGTCCTCATCATCACACCTTAGCTCATGATTTCCATTTGCAAAGCAGATCCATTTTTCTGTCCCTGAGATTCTTCACTGTTCAGCAAATTAGAAAAGAGTTTCCCCGATCAAAAATTCCCTTTGTGTTTTCTTTCTCTAAATTAATCTCTTTCCTCCTTTTGTTTTTAGTACTTTTTCTGTTTGTTCCTTTTCTTCAAGTCACATCTCCAGAAAACTTTATCTGGATACTCCTTTCCCCTCTAAGGCAATCTAGCCATTATTGATTGATTGATGATTGATTAAAATCACTATGGACTGGTTTTACTTCAAAGAAATCTTGGACATAAATATTTATATACAGGCTGCTAATTGCTGCTATAAAATACTGGAAATAATGGCTGTTTGTTGGTTATAGGATTAGTGCTATGATCCCTAGGAAATATAAATTTATCTTAAATCTTAACATTATAAAGAAAAAAATTAAATTTCCATTTTAGAACTAGACCTTATTTAATTTATCATCAACTAATAATAAGTCCATGTAAATAATAACTAGATAATAGAGTTTTTTTTCTATGTATAATTTTAATAAGAATTTTTTTGAAGTGCAATATAAAATTCTTAACTGTCCTATTTTTTAGAGTGTTTAAAATACAATTTAAATTTTTTTGCATGACAAGGTCATGGTGAAAGTCACTTATTTCTATGCTGCACTCAGCCTAATGTTTGGACCTCTGTTTAAAGGCATTTCTGAAACTGATAATCATTTGAAAAGGGCTCTGTGATCAAATAAATTTAGGAAATACTAATATTAGTTCTCCTAAAAGTGATTCATAATGCAAATTCGCATATTCAAGTCTCTATTTGCTTCTCTAATAGAGATTTTTTGAAATATATAATGTTTTCATACTTTTTTGACCTATGAACACCAGTCAACGGGCACATCCATTCATTTCTGAGATTTTCTCAGAAACAACTGACTGTTTTGGGTGGCACTGCTCTGGGTCACCACATGGCCTGAGCATCTCGGCCGGCTCTGCTTTTCCTCCCCTTGTTAGCCACTCCTGTGGCTTCTTGCTACTGTGGTGTGGCTGATTTTACTAGTGCCCTCTTCTATTTGGAAAATGCTGCTTCTAATATTATCATAGTAAGTATTTTTGCAGGCCCCTTTGAGAAATTACTGAAAGTCTCTTAAATTCTCCTATATATTCTCTTTGAACAATTCCATGTAGTCACAAATTGAGGGCTAAATTGGAGTCACCTGACATCTATCTGTGGGTATCATAGGGCATATGGCTCAGAAACTTGTTATTCTTAAAAAGGCAAAGCCTCAGTCATTTCTAGAGCTAATGAATCAGCATCTCTGTGGGATGAGGCCCCAAAGTATTCATTTTAACCAACTACCCCCAAGTGAATTTTCTGTACACTGGGTTTGAGACCCCTGCCTGAAGGGACCATAAGCACTAGTTAAAAACTCTTGTAGTTAAAAAATCACTCTGTAAGCATCAGAAAACCTGGATTTTTGTTCTCCAAAAGTCAACCAAACAGATGCTATTGTATGGAACATCAATGACTTTAAAAACAAAAGAAAACTCCACTCTTTCCAAGGTCAAGATTTACAACTTCTTTATTTCTGGAAGAAATGTGGAACACCTGTAGGAAATTCCCAGCCCATATCCTATGTACTCGCCCTAGGCAAAAGAATAACTCCTGTCAGGAAAAACCCTGAGCAATAGTTGGAGTTCTTTAGACACATTCCTCACAAATTTATAATGATTTCCATGAGGCCAGAGATCATATTCAGCATATTCACCATAGTGTCTCAGAACCCAGCACAATCTCTTATATAAAGTACACAATCAAAACAACTGATTAAAAAACAAAATGGATAAAACTCCATGAGTCCTAGAAATAGCTAGGTTTGGCCCAGAAAAAAGGAAGATTTTTATATCCATACCCCAAATATATTCCTCAAAACACTAAGTATTTATAGATATAAGTTCATACATAAAAAATAAGTACAACATTCTATAAACATTTTTTATAGTTTTCTATTTAACAAAATAGATTTGAAGACTGCTTCTGAAATAGAAGATATGTGCAAAAGGAAATAAAAACAATAATGGCCTGGGAACTTAATGGAACATACTGATACAATTAATTCTAAAATGTCATTTTTTTGTGTCTTTAAAAAATAAAGTTATACTTTCTCTCTTCATTTATTTATTTATTTTCAGAGGGACTGTCTCACTGTATTGCCCAGGCTAGTCTCAAACTCCTGGCCTTAAGCAATCCTCCTGACTCAGTCTGCTAAAGTGGTGGGATTACAGGTATGAGCCACTGCAAAATTATGTTTTAGAAAATAGCTTCACTATAAAAAATGTGCACAGATATTTTCAAAACTGTCATCCTAAAATTTAAAAAGTCTCTCTTTCTTTCTCTCTCAGTATATGAACACACACACAGTATATGAACACACACACACACACACACACACACCCCTTTAGATATACCACACTCAAAGAATATAGACTATACACTTAAAGGTGTTAACTATTACTTACACCTAGTGACTAAGAGTTAAAATATTAACTTCATTTTGTTCTAGCAAAATTTAGGACATTGAAAATAAATCTGCAGGGACATTAGTCCTTCTCACATTTCATCTGCAACAAAGCAGCAATTGGAATAAATATCAAAGTCCAACTAAATCAGACAAACCACAAAAATACAGGTACTGGCTGAAAGTACACATATTAATTTCCAAAACCATTAGCAACAGAATTCTTGTTAATAATAGCAGCAAGATACAAGAGAAAATGAGAAGCTACGAAATCAGATAATCTGAAGCTGCTGGATCTGTATAATAGGATAAAAGGCACATTTCAGTTTTCCTAAGAAAAACGAACATTGGCCACCCTATTCTTGACTGTAAATGGATCCATTTTCAGTGAGGAGGTATTCTCAGTGCCACAAGACAGGTGGCATAAAAAGAGGTGACACACATACTCATTGAGAATCATATCATTCCACATGAAATTCATGACATAATCCAAATGGAATATATTTATTCTGGTAAGAAAAAACAACTTTTAAACAATGTTATAATATGAAGTAAGCAGGGACCACACAGGAACAAATAATGAGCTCTACTTTTCACAGTATCCAAGTCACTTCCTAAGAGCAGGTGGGACTTAGGAGCCCACTAAGTGAATTTCAGTGCCCTGCAGAAGCTGCAGCCTCCTGCATGCCTGGCTCCACAGTGCAGCAGGGAGGAGGGAAGCAAACACCATGCCCTCCAGTTTGTAAAGAGCCTTCTTCATCATGTAAGTAGCTAGAAATCACAGAGGATCATCTACAGGCATTGTTTTTATCACATACACTAAGTTGAAACTCAGCTGTTTTTACCCTCTTCTCAGCTACTGTTTTTGTAAAATTTATTTATTTTGCAAATTTACATAACTAGGAAAATATGAGGGGTAAAACTACAGCAAGGATATTTCCACCTTAGTTTTCAGAACTGAAATGTGCTACTTCTCATCTCTTTTGAGGTTTCCATAGGTACCATACAAAATAGGGTAAACATTTAAAATAAATTAAGTAAATGAATGAGGGAATAAGTGATTAAAAGGATAAAGAGAATATCTATGAAGTTGAGTGAAAATATAACCCAAGCTGAATATGTGGAAATTTAGAGAATTTACAGGTAAGTATCAGACCTCTCTTCTAAATCGTGAAAGAATGGGCTGGACTGGTGGCTCACAGCTATAATCCCAGCACTCTGGGAGGCTGGGGCAGGAGGATCCTTTGAGCTCAGGAGTCCAAGAACAGCTTGAGCAAGAGCAAAACCCTGTCTCTACTAAAAATAGAAAAACTAGCCAGGTGTGGTGGTGCATGTTGTAGTCTCAGCTACTCAGGAGGCTGAGGTAGGATCACTTGAACCAGAGAGTTTGAGGTTGCTGTGAGCTACGATGCCGCATCACTCTACTGAGGGTGACACAGTGGACTCTGCCTCAAAATAAATAAATAAATAAATATAAAAGGATGGCGAAGGAACAGTTAGGGAAACTGAGCCTCATAAATGTTAATAAATCTGAATATTAATTCAGATAACACTTAACTCTTAGAAACTGGACTCTGGACTTCTCCTCCTCTCCCCGCCTTTCCTTCTGGTTCCTCCACTCCAAGTCTTACCATGTGATGCCCTGCTATTTATTGTACTGCTACCTGAAGCACCAGAGATGGTATAATCAAATGGCTAACATACGGCACCCATGAGCCCGCTGGTATGGGCTCAGATCTGGACACTGCTCCTTACTAGCCATGTGTCTTTCTTTGGACAACTTACAGTCCCTGGGGGGCAGGAGTATTAGGTTTCCTGTGAGAAGCCTGTTGGTTGCCTCCAGCCCAGGACAGGCTCCCACTCCCCATGCTCCTTCCCATTTTACTCGCACACACCTCCATTTAGCATTTACTGTGTGGCATTATCGCCGTTAGTTTGGAGGTTGCTTCATATAGGCAAAGATTTTTTTTCTCCATACCTGCAGTCCCATTGTCCTTCATAGTGCCCACTAAGAATAGAATGAAGGATTCCAAAATGATACTCCTATTGGTGAGTGTCAGCCACAAGAAAAGCCAACTGCTTTTAACTGATTACTATTTGGGCTCTTTTTTCTACCATAAACATGCTTCTTTTAATAAAATAATTAAATGAGTTTCATATCAATTACTGTATGGTAATTTTAATAAAAATTATTTTGGGGGAGAAATAACCATAAACAGCTTATCAGAGACCTGTTTCACCATTAACTACTGTAAATATTATTGTTGTAATTTAATGGACTCCATTGCTAAGGTTAGCATTCATAAAGCTGAATGGCGACTCCACTCCAAGACCTTCCACAGCATCTTTTCTGTGCCAACCTTTTCAAAACAATCTAACCAAAGGAAGCATGCATGTTCATGGAAGCCATGCTTTGTGTATATTTCTAAGAGGTCCTCGGCCCTTAGGGTTCTATTGATCGAACCTGGTTAAGACCCCCTGCCTTAATCCATCTGACTATCAGAAGCAGACCTTTTAGATCTCCCTCCCACTAAAAAGGCCTGTAGTCCCTAGTAGTTTCTACTTCCTTTTGCAAAAAATTAGGTCCTATCCAGCTTCTACATCATAACCTCTTCATCACTCGTCTCATCATAAAATTGAATGTCTTACGACATTTAAACACACTATTCTCTTACCTTTGCAGGCCGTGGGTGAGGTGGTGGGATATACTGAGGAATGACTTGTGGCCTCACTCTTTCAGGAATTGAGACAAACACTTAGATTAGTACAAAATGGTAGCTGCCTTCACAGTGGAATATGACAACCGAAATGCTCTACGTTAGAAGAGATCACATTGCTGGTATGTCCTCCACGAGCACGGCCTATGCCTGCTTTGTCTGGTGGTCCTAGGCCGAGAGAGTTGTTACACCAAATTTTGTACCAGTGACAGGATTGGTAATCCTGCTCTAAAGAACTACCAGGTTGGAATAAATTCTCGCAGCCCACCACAGGCCCCATGCAACAGGGAGGTTTGCTTTTTCCTTTGGAAGGGACAATATAGCAAATATCCCCTTGCTTTAGATACCAAGAGAAACCTAGGTGGCTAAAAAGCGTGAAGCTATTCTTTCGGGTCAATGAGAAAAACTGAAAAGAAAATGCTTCTATTATTACCCTTTTATGATTCCCAGGCCAGCCCTGGCTCCACTGATGTCACCTGAACTGACTGCTAAATGATAACAAAATTCTCCCACACTCCATTCTCTCTTCCCTGGCAAAGCTGTCAGTATTGCATTAGCAAGAAATCTGACTTTGTGCTTCTTTGCCAAAGGGTATAGTACTCTGGTCCCTCTTCTATATTCTATCTTCCTTATTTTGTTTCTTTCCCTGAGAACATGAGAGAGAATCTCCGACGTCCGATGTGGCCACTGTCAGGCCACTGTTGAAGATGCTAATCAAAGCATGGCTTACATTCGAATTCAGCCCAAATTGACAGCTGTATCCAGGGAAATTTTCTGAATATTTTCTCAGCTAACTTTTCTTTCATTGTCTGCTGGTTTAAATCCCAGTTGTAAATACATAGATATGCTGACCCTGTCAGGGAACATTTTAATAAAAAGACATCTCTAGTGGAATGAAATGGGTTGTAAATTTTAAGTACTGTCTGCTGATAGTATATTATTAATGGAATATTTTCCTTATATCCATTTCTTGGTCTCAAATTGTGCTAGAGTTCGGTTAACTCTATCTCTTATCATATGTGTTACTTTCTCTTATCATGCTAAAAATTAACCTACAAATAAAAACTTAAACTAAGTTAACAATGCATTTTTACCACAGCCTGAGGTTGTATCTGAAAATTGATATTCCATTTTTTAAAGGAATAGGCCATGATAGAGAAGTTATATTATTAGCTCTTAATATAACATGTTAAAATTAATTTTAAAAATTTAGCACTAGAATAAAAAGAATGCCATCATCAAAAATATGGGTCTAAGTTGGGATGCCTGCTGAGTGCACTGCCTAATAGATTTTCTAATTGAATAATAACCTTTCAAAAGAGATTGAATTTTTTTCTTCTTTATGCCAAAAAATAAAGAGTAAGATTCTATTCACACTTTTTAAAATCAGGCAGGAAAATCACAATGCCTATGAACATACATTAAAATTCTGATGAAAAGAGATAGCCACGGTGATAACGGCAATCCCTTGTACCCTCCTGAAAAGCTGTACCCTAATGAGCCAACGAAGTGCCTGAGAGGGAGGAAGGATGTTTCCAGGGGTGCAATGGCACTTTGTAGAGTAAATTTTGTAGTTAATCTTACCTTTTTAGTTGCCTTCCTCACCTAGGGAATAGTTATTCAGCCATAAACATAAAATCTTATTTCCTTCAAACTTCAGTAAAGATCTGCCTTGTCCCTACCATGCACAAGGTGCCATGTGACAGGGCAAGGTAGAGTCAGTCTGAAAGCCGGGTGGGGAGACTGCACAGGGCCACACCTGCTCTCCTGTGGCCATCTCTGTCTTGTAAATTTACTCCTCTTTAACTATTTTAGTTCATACAAAAAGAAAGATAGCACTCTCAAAATATAAGAAAAACTCAGTGTCAAAAGAAGTCTGTGGATAAGAAGCTAATGGAAGAAAATGCCAGGAGGTGACTGCCGTTCTATTCTGATGTCACTGATCAATACTGCACTCTGCTGTTTGTTATGATTTGTTCCATGGAACTTCTTTTTTAAAATTTTACAAAGGTAATTAGAAAACATATGCAAAATGAGGCAACTTACTTTTCCTTTCTTTCGGTATATAAACAGACATTAGACTTACTTGATTTTTTTTTTATATTACAATAAACACACAAAGCTTTGCTCAATGAACACAAATGTTAACAAATTCCCTTGGATTGCGATTTGGATCCAGTGTTGTGGATGGCTGGGTTGCGATGAAGGCGACAGGGAGACAGGACTAGATGAGAAGGAGAATGAGGAGTGGGGCAAGGCTCTGGGGAAGAGCAAGTCCCCTCAGATAGAGGTCTGCACCTTAGGCTCCTGCCATAAATCTGGCCCACTGCCTATTGCGGCACAGTCTCTTTGTAAATGGATGGTGGAAAAATCAAAAGGAGAATATTTCCTGACACAGAAAACTACATGAAATTCAAGTTTCAGCATCCACAAAGCATCCGTGGAATCCAGCCTCACTGACTTGTCTTCATGTTGTCTATGGCTACTCTGCCCTGCAGTGGCAGAGTCGAGGCGCTGAAATGGAAACCTGAAAGGCTGCAAAGCTAAGATAGTTTCTAACTATTTGTTCATAGAAAGCATTTGTGAGCCCCTGTCCTGGAAGGACAGGAAGGATGCAAAAGGAGAGAAACAGTCACAGATCAGTCGACACACAAAGGGAGAAACTACGGTTACAAAGGGGGAGGTGAGCTGAGTGACGGGGAGCAGAGCAGTGAATAGCTACCATTTATCCAAGGCACACTGCGTGGGAAAGACTTTATATGTGTTATTTATAATCTTCATTAAAGTCATAAGGAGGAAATTGGGACTTAGGAAAAGTAAGTTGCTTATAAGTGGGTCACAAAATCAATCTGCTCTTTGAGGAAACTGGCAATGACACCAGTTTTCAATTGAAGAACAAACTTCAGGGTTGAGAGGTGATTTCTAGAACATTTGAGTCCTTAAGATCAATGTTAGGATAATGTCGACAACTTTTGGCCATCAACAAAGGCTGATGTACACTTCAGACAGAACCATCTGTTATTTGTATCCTCCTACAAACACTGAACTCTACCAAAATTAAGGATGGAAAAATGCTTATGGAATCCTTCCTTACTCTGTACCAAGTCCTGTCGTAAGCATTTTCCACATATCAGGACTTGAATGAAGGCAGCCTGTACATGAGACTGGTATTAGTGCTAACATGCGTCAGAGTCACCTGGAGAGCCTGTCCACACGTGGGTTTCTGGACCTGCTCCCAGAGTTTCTGAGGTGGAGCCTGAGAATTTGTGTGTCTCACTGTCCCAGGTGATGTTGCTGCTGGTTTGGAAACCACACTCTGCAAGCCATTGTTCTGTTGCCTCCTGCCACCCCACTGAGCCGTCCTGTTCTCACTTCCTATGGTTTTGCCTCAGTATACACTCTTATCAAATTTCACACTAGAATTTCTAGGGTGAAACATTCTTCTAGGTGGTTTGCTTGTATCCTTCACCCACTTGAGTAAGTCTCACACATCACTGGGAAGGTTCTACATCTGTTTTTTGGGGTTTTTTTAAAATCTATTTTTTTCTTTTTCTCTTTTTTCTTTGTTTTGTTTTTTTCTTCTTGTTGTTAGTATAAAGTTCTATATCTTAAACACTCTGCTCAAAAGCCTTTAACAACTACCACGTATAATTTAAACATCAAGGATGGGATTTCCAGATTCTTGGTAATTTGTTCTTAGGCTAGATATCATGTCATTCATTCAGTTGTTCAACTATGTGACCCCTTAGCTTTTGTCTGCCAAGCACTCTTGTCAAACAAGCTGATTCTTTGGCTAATCAGAGGCCTTCACCTGTGACTTTCTGAACTGAGCTACCAGATAGCTGTTAGGACATCAGCAGGAAACTGCCAGGAGCCATATGTCCACTGATTGGAGAAACTGGTCAGAGAACGGAGTCATCATTTAGGGAGAAACCAAGACAACAGATGATGAAATACAGCTAGCGAGCCAAGAAACCCCCTGGCTCCTATCCTTCCAGGTTTTTTAGCTCTTGCTTTTATTGTATCAACTACCACATTCCTCTTTTAATAGGGTTCTTCCCTTCTTTGCATAAGAAGAGGAAGTGAAGAATGAAGGAATAAAGATGTCACTTGCAAAGTCATCTTAGCAATGCCTCCCTCAATTGTTTATAAAGTAGGCCTGAGAGTCACTCACCCTTCTCTTCAGGTCTCCAGCCAGCCACAGCTAGCTTTCCTGCTGCTGCTCTTTGAGCTGAGAGGGAAGCCCTCGCCTTGCCCTTGCCTCAGCAAGGCCTACTCCGAAG